CCACAAGCTGCATGTCTTTGGACGGTGGGAGGAAGCCAGAGTACCCGGAGGGAACCCACGCAAACACGGGAAGAACATGCAAACTCCACACAGAAAGACCCCGGCCTGATGGTGGAATTGAACTCAGGACCTTCTTGCTGTGGGGTTATGGTGGCCCTTTAAAGCAGTACTTAGCCACCCTTTTTGTCTGATTTTAATAAGTTCCTCTTCATCTGTCGTCATGTTCCAAATGTGGTCTTTTCACTTGTCTTAAATAACTTTTCAGTACCTGGGACCACATCCTCATTTGTAGGAGGCGTGTGCATGAATTGAGCCTGCGGTTTTGGGGAAAGGCCTCAGAGGGGAGTAGCATTGGGCCGGGCAGATCCGCATGCACTAATGAGAGGTGAATGAATTAAAAAAGGGAGCAAGGAAAAGCCGACAGAACGCCAAAAAGGATGAATGTGTGGTCCTGCTCCTGAAATTCAGATAAATTATCTCCAATGAAACATACTCTTTGAACACTTTCACACACTTAATTTACTTTTTAGTATAGACCATATTTTTAACCCGTTCACACTATTTTGAGAAATAGTACAACATCATTGCAAACACTCACTTCTTCTGCTCCAGCTTTGCTCACCTAATAATTGATTTCCTCCCAGGCTTCTGATTGGCCTACAGTTATATACATACAGTCGCTTTGGCGTGGTCTTGGCAGCGCTTGATGTAGTTTTTAAAGTTTTCGTGTGGAGGGAGATGTGTTTTAGACGGTGTTTGTGTGCATTAGATTTAAAGAGTAAAAGCAGAAAGCCCCCATTTAAAAATATACCCGTGCACATGTCAATGTAGCCTCATCTATGTCGACTTGCTACAGCTTTTTAATATAGTAATGAATGACTATGTGCAGCTGTATATTCTCAGCTGTATATTCTTTACAGCCTGGCGTCACACGTGCTGTTTGAATGATTATTTTCCCCCTAAAAAAACACGTAGATCTATTTCTTCACATCATGACCAAAGAAATAAATCCACATATTGCCTCCTGTCTATCTGTGCTGTCTTCCCTGGACATTTGTTAGTTTTTCCTGATCAATCAGTCAAGAGGTCACAAAAAAGATCTACTCATTTATTCTTGCTCCTGCCTGTTATTTTTGATGTTTTCTTACACTTCATGTGAACCCAAGAGATAGTGATGGAGTGAGACAAATCAGGTCTTTCTTATCATTTCTTCTTCTGCTGAACATAAATATGTTTCCAATTTCTTTTTGTTTTTGTTTCACACTTGGCTGTTGTCCTCTGTCCCAGTGGAAAATTTCTCAGTGGAAACGGTATACAGATCAGGCTTTGTGTGCTTCTCAGTTCAGCTGTTGTCGTCTGACCTGCTGTATTTTTGCAAAGCAGCTTTTAAATGCAAACGCTTTAAATGCATTTCATTTCTCACACATTAGCCCAGTTAGAGACTTGTTGATCGTATTACTGAAGATAAAGGGCACCATTGTGCGAGGCTTTGAGAACTGGTTTGGGGTCCAGCAAGTGTTCTCTAACTTTGGGCTGTGACATGTTGACCAGCTGGACCAGCAGCTGCCACCTGGATAATCCTGCCTTGTTGTTCTAGATTTCAAATGGCACAAAGGGCAGCCAGGGAGAGGTTGTGTGTTTGTTCATTTCTCTCAGCTCTTTTTTGCTGTATCTTTTACCCACTTTGTTCTCAAATGGTCCTTCCATGTTCACTGTTATTGTGCTGTGAATCATGTTGTGGAGCTGCAGAGTTGCAGTATGTAGTTAAAGCCAAAAGCAAAGCAGCTGGGCTCCATCACACTATTGGGGTGATCTGTGATAATCTTACCATTGTTGAGGTAATCTCGGTGTGGGTAATGAAGTTCTTGTGATTGTCTGACGGTTAGTCTTTAATCCTCCTCTCACCGAGAATATGGGATTAAATAAATTCATTGTAGCTCTCTTGAGGAACCAATTATATATATATAAAAACAATAACGTCATTAACGGATAATGAAAATAAAAAGAAACATTATTTTCTAACATATCACCATGCTGAGCCTCCTTTAATTGCACTGTCAACACTTACACTGAATCTAACAATAACCTTTTCCACCTGTTAAGTGGGACAGCGAGGTACAGTAGTGCCAGTGTTTTCCTCTTTTAGGCCCCACGCAATTCCAGAAACACAATAACATGAAATTAGAGTTGATGCCCCGTGCGTAGTGAAAATGTTGTTGAATGGCATCAAATATTTTGTTGTTAACAGCTAATGTCTGCATGTGAGAACTTTACCGTGATAATAGATTCGGCATTTTAAAATGTTCCCTAACAGTTGTCCTGAACTTAATGATGGAAATTCTGACTTCCCACATCTGCAGAGACACTGAAAAAAATTAAATGTTTATATTAAGATGAGAGCAGCTTAAGCATGAGACAGAATCAGTCAGAATTTATGTTGTGTTTAATTTCAGGGGAGTTCTTCAGCTCAAGTGGCCATTACTTCTGTGGGGCGAAGCTTTTTTTCCTAGCTGAACCGCAGGTTTCCATTTGCTTAAGAAAGGGACATTTCATATTTAAAAGATCTATTGTCCTAATCTAAAATATTATTTTAGATTATTTATTTTATTATTTTATCCATAATAATAATAATACTAATAATAATAATTATATTATATTATATTATCCATGTGCCATGAGACCAACCCTGCTGAATTTTTATTATATTATATAATATATTCCTGATGATTATATATGATTATATATATAACTGTGATGTTATATGTGGAATCTTACTGCCTGACAATACTGTCACCCAGTAAAATAATAATAATAATAATGGATTGCATTTATATAGCACTTTTCTAGACACCCAAAGCACTTTACATTCACTCTCACATACACACACTAGTGAAGGCAAACCACAGTTGTAGCCACTGTGACAGAAGCGAGGCTGCACCATCGCACCATCAGCCCCTCTGGCCAATACCAGTAGGTGGTAGGGTGAAGTGTCTTGCCCAAGGACACAATGACCAGGACAGACAGAGCTGGGGATTGAACCGGCAACCTTCCTGCCACACTTAACTTAGTGTGGCAGGAAGCAGAGTTGTTTTTTCACTAATTGGAAGATCGGTGGTTCAATCTGTGGTTCCTGCATTCCTCAAGTCAACTTGTCCTTGACCAAGATACTCAACCCTAAAAACTTTACCTGATGTTTGAATCGTGTGTGGTAGGAACGTTATTGTATAAATTTGGCTTGTTTTGTGCTGCGAGTGGAGAGCGAGACTAAAATATCATTAGCATGTCACAATAAAGGTTTATGGCAGGAATAAGCAGTACTTCTGATACACAAACCACACTCAGAAGATCAAGTGATTGGTGCTGTTTTTCTTGTCTTCTGATTTATCTTTAGCTGTTTTATTGATTTCATTGATCATTCGCAGAGTTATTCAAGATGTTTCACAACAGAATGAAATAATTTCTGGCTTGTGTGTGGAACACATTTTTATTTTTTGATAATAAAAATAAAAATACAATTAAATATGAAAATAAAATAAAATTTAAACATTTATTTATTTATAACTTTTATATACTCACTTGCCAGGGGGATATTTTGAGTCCATGCAAATTGTAACCTCAGTTTCCTGTTCTTAGCTCCCAGCACTGGGTGCAGTCTTCTGCTGCTCTAGCTAATCTGTGTATTTAGAGATGTTCTGTATATCTTTAGTTACTGTTGCCTTCCTATCAAAGCAGTCTGCCCCTTTTCCTCTGACCTCTGACATCAACAAGGTTTTTTTTTTCACTCAGAGAACTGCTGCTCATTGGATATTTTCTCTTCTTCAAACTATTGTCAGTAAACCCTAGAGACGGTTGTGCACAGAGTTGCTGCAATTGCTGCTCATTAGATATTTACAATAATGAACAGTTAAATCAGGGTACGTAATAAGGTGGCAGTTGAATGGCCTGACAATTTATGCAAAAAACAAACAAACTTGGTTCCATGATTGATTTTTGTCCTACTCACTGAATATGACCGTTTGCATTGTGTTACAGATCAGCAAGTGTTTTCCTGCTTTGTGTGCAGTAATTTTTTGTGTTAGCGGTTAATCATGCAGAGACTAAACAATATATGTAATGAACTGTGTGTGTAACTGGTGTGTTTTTGTGTGTGTTTCAGTTTTCTTCTGGTGTTCAGCTGCTTAGTGCTGTCCGTGTTCTCCACCATCCCCGAACACCAGAAAGCTGCAAACCAAGGTCTCTTCATCCTGGTAGGACCCCTTTCTTCCCTCTAGTTTGCCCTCTTATTTATACTTATACAAACACATTTATGGCAGATCCAGTGCACATCGTCACACGCTGTCCTTGCATGCATGCCGTCTCACTTGCTGCAGTCCATCCATGCGTGCTTGCGTATGTGCTTTTCTTTACCGTTAGCGGCGCAGATAGCCATGTAAGCAGGTGGGAGGATTCAGGTGTTGTTGACTGCGCAGGAAATCACAGACATGATGCACTAATCCTAATAGCTATCCCTTAATCCCCTCTCTTCCTCTGTACTTCAGCTGCTTTAGTGAAAGGTAATGGACACCCTTTTCCTCCTTCCTAACCTGACTCATCCTCTCTCAGCCACCTTTTCCCCCTCTCTCTTCCCACCTTGCGCTTCGTAACGTGTTATTTAATGGTAGTACTCTTCACTTCCACATTCCCTCCCTTCACTCTTTCGATCAATCACCTGGCCATTAGCAGACAATCACCCATTAGTGGATTTTACTTACATGAACATTTGCTCTAATGACAGATTGGTTCAGCGCATTATAAACTGTCTGCACGGTCTAGAAACCTGAAAGCAGGAAAGACGCGTGGAAAATGGTTTGACTTGAGTCAGAACTCTAAAGCTGTTAAATTTTCAGTTTAGAAACTGAACATATGACACGAATGTCCCAGGCTACGGTTTTTCTCTCTCTGCTAAGACCTTTAAAATGATATCATGGGAAAGGTTAAATAAACAGAGTGCAGGGAATGTAAATCATGTTATGAAGATTCACATTAGTTCATGTGTTACTGTAAAAAAAAAGTAAAATATACTTCCCAGCTAGATGTTCATCACATGCAGTGTGACATATTGTGTACTTTTCATGTTACCATGATCCTTTCCACAGCACTGATATTTTTCCTTTTGTTTTTCTTTGTGGTGTCTCAACACAGAGGCTGTGTTGAGTTCACTTGAAAGGTAACATGGTCCTTTTTCCGAAAAAGGCGTTTAGCATGTGGCTACAACACAAGCTGAACATAACCATGATCCAAAATGGATCACTGGCAACTTGATAGGCGTTGGGCACATAAACACCAGATTGCTACTTTGAATAAAATAGACAGCTCTGTTTGGGAGGCAGTTAGTGAGCGTGACACTGGTTTAACAATTTAATGGGAACCCTGTAAAATGATGATTAGTTGAACAAACATAACTGACCCCTCTTTCACTCTGTGTGTGTCACTTGCAGGAATTTGTCATGATCGTGGTGTTTGGCTTGGAGTACTTCATCAGGGTTTGGGCAGCCGGATGTTGCTGCAGATACCGAGGATGGAAAGGACGACTGAAATTTGCCAGGAAGCCTTTTTGTGTCATAGGTTAGAGTGTGTTTATTTGTGTTTTCCACCTGTTTTCTACTGATTTGGTGCTGAAAAAGCAGCTTAAAGTTGGAACCACTGACATTTATGGCATTAAGAGGGAGTGAAATTTCATAATTCACAGAAGGAGCCTGTAAGGGATGTTTCTCCTCTTATGGGAATTGCCTCTATAATAGCTACATTATGTAACACTGGAATAAGCCTGCGCCGCGTCGCTGGAAAATATGTGAAACTATTAATGTATTCATATAAAAGTATCCCTCGGATGCTGTTTCTTTCTTTGTCATGATGTGAACATCTTCTCTCTAGACTTCATTGTGTTCGTGGCGTCACTGGGAGTGATTGCAGCAGGCACGCAGGGCAACATCTTTGCTACGTCCGCCCTGCGCAGCATGCGTTTTCTTCAGATTTTGCGTATGGTACGCATGGACCGACGAGGAGGCACCTGGAAACTTCTGGGCTCCGTGGTGTATGCTCACAGCAAGGTGGGAATGACAGGCTGATAAATATGCAGTTAGGTCCCTATGTTTTTGGACGGTGACACAAAGTAAGATTTTCAAAAGTAGCTTAAATAAGAGTTTTTCAAATCAAACAATGGCCAAATCAGTTTCTTAATTTCAGCACAACAGAGCAGCTTTTCAGTTACTGGAGTCAAAACTGGGGGTGGAGAAACCCACGAACAAGCAAGGAGGAAACATTTCAATGATGCCCCTGGGATCGACACTTCAGCCACTAAATGCAAAATTTCATCTGCATATTAAAAACAATCATTTAGCTTGGCAGGTATTTTAAACCTGTGAAAATGGGGAGCTGTGTATAACAACGTCTGTAGTTTCTGAACAGTTAACGTAATACTTTGGTAAAAACTTTCAAGTAAAGGTGAAAGTTTGCACTTCAGTGGCATGGTGACTGTTTGATTTAAAATCCACTGTGGTGGTGTACGTTGTCCAAACTCATCATACACATGTTCTGCCATGTAAACACTGTTTATCTGGTTTATGTTTAAGCAATAACATTTCATTGATTAAGTTGTACACTGAAAATGAAAAGTAAGCTAACACACACTAGCCACTTGCAGCATTATGGATTATTATAAGAGCAGAGAGGAGGCTGAGGGCTGCCATTAAAAGGCCCGTGATGACATGATGGGAACTAATGGGATAAATATCTCAATAGCTTTCACCGTTAAGGAATATCTTGTGACTCTAATGGATGACCAGCCGTTGTTTGATTACATTCACTGGCCTCAAACATCAAACTCGCTGCTCATTTCTGGCAAATTAGCTGTTACCTTGTTGTGCTGACTTCATCGCCTCTCACCCAGCATTCGGTTGGAGAACACGTATATATACGGTTCTCATGATGATAATAGTGATGAATTGATGCATCAGCTGTCAGAGCAGCAAAGTCAAAGTGGAAGCCAAATGTGATTATGATGAGATTTTAGCCCATAATGATAATAGAGATACAGCAGAGACTGTGGTGGATTGTGATGCTGCTGACAGGTGTGACTAATACCACTGTCTGTCTCACAGGAGTTGATCACAGCCTGGTACATAGGTTTCCTGGTCCTGATCTTTGCCTCCTTCCTCGTCTACCTGGCAGAGAAAGACATCAACTCAGACTTCAACACTTATGCAGACTCCCTCTGGTGGGGGACTGTGAGTATTGCTAACTGTGCCCATATATGGACTCCCTTTGCAAACATCCCTTATCTTATCATCTGTGATTTAAATGCTCGAGTATACCCAGATGACATAAACATAATCGAGGGCTTGCAAATATCACAGGACCGCTGGGATCTATAAATTAAGATTCAGGAGGTGGTAAATGTCTTGTTTTTGGCCAGTTTGTTTAAAGAAGACTCAGCTGTAGGTGAATGATTGTTGTGTTGTGTTATCTGAATGTGCATTTCACAAACCTTTAGGTATGTGAGCTGTGCATTTTGTCCGTCTGATTGTCAGCAAGACTGCAAAAAATCTGCCAGGCTGAGTTCCACAATGGAGCAAGAGCAAAAGAAGAGCCTATTAAGTTTTGGCGTGGATCCACAGAGCTTCTATTAAACTTCTCACTCTTAGTCTTAGAGGAGGGTTCAGCGTGAGATAATTCACAGTGATTTCATAATTAACAAAACTTGTGACCTCTAGTCACTGCAAAACATCTTATGAAAGATTGCTGTGGTTTTTAAATTGACACAAATCACAGGTGGAAGTGAGTGCACTTGAAATAATTTGCTCTTTTTAAAAGAAACAGTGCAACATGTCAGTGCAGTTTTTGAAAACTGGTAATTTATTAGGCCTCTCCTATTTTGAGCTCGAGATCTGTATTTCTTCCTCTACTCAGATAACTTTAACTACGATTGGCTACGGTGACAAGACCCCTCATACGTGGCAGGGACGGCTCCTAGCTGCGGGCTTTGCTCTTCTGGGAGTCTCTTTCTTTGCCCTGCCTGCTGTAAGTCTCCTATATTTACTCACAGTTCGCGACTCCTTCGGCATTGCCCAAAGTCACAAGTTGCACTCCTGACATTAATTTGATCTTTGACCCTCAGGGAATTTTGGGGTCAGGCTTTGCCTTAAAGGTTCAAGAGCAACACAGGCAGAAACACTTTGAGAAGAGGAGGATGCCTGCAGCAAACCTGATACAGGTGACGGCCACAGCAAGAGTCTCAAAAGCTGTTTCATTCGCACTCAAGTAGGAAACCACACAGGCTGCTAACCTTCACTGTTTTTATCGCTTTGTGTTTTTTTTCTTCAGGCTGCATGGCGTCTCTACTCAACAGATGCCAAACACTCCTATCTAACAGCTACTTGGTACTTCTACGACAGCATGTTGCCTTCTTTCAGGTAGGCGCTCCTACCAGGCTGAGCACTGAGTGGATTCAGCCATCAGAAATCTGCGGGCACCTTTGGCCGTGTTTGGTTGGAGTGTAAAGGCAGACAGAGATTTGAGAGTTGCATCAGAACATTTCTCAAAAAGCAAATCCTGAAACATGTAGAGAAGTTTGTAGTTTGGTTTCTGCTCATGCGTTCATATCGCTGCACACATCATGTCTGCTACCTGCAACCCTCTCTCAGTTAAACTGAGGATTGTAGTGACAGAAATGATTTTGATTTGCTCTCCATTTATTATTTAAGATTTCTGCCACCTCGTTTATTTTTTCAGATTTTTCTTCTACGCAGTGGTTTCTTACATTTTGCATTTATGTATTAATTTGACTAATTTTTATTTGCTTAAAAGGAGGGAAACCTGAGAAACATGAAGAGACACGTGCATCTGTTTACATTTAAATTAAGTCAGACTTGCACTGCCCGATTCTTACGCTTCACACGTGTACAGTACCGTGCAAAGTCTTGAACTACTCCTCATTTCTTTATGTTTTGTTACCTGGCAATTATCAGAGGAATGCTTTGTTTGTTTATTTATTTATTTTCTTAAGCCACTTAACATTGTCCTACGAATCATTCAAGCAAAAAAATAAAAAATAAAGCGCTGAACCAGTTCTGCTTCTGTGTCTAACAGACGACAAAGAACCAAGGTTAAATTGTATCAGTTTAAAGAAACTGAACATGTGGACAAATGGCAGATCTAATACTGTAATAATACTAATAATATCTGTAGCAGATGAGCAGTATCTGAAAGCTATGGCTGTTAAAATGGGGAAGAAATCCAGCAAAGACCTGACACAGGACTTAAGAGATGCATCTGGCCCTTCAGTCGATCCATCTCCTGTTCACTAAATCCTCATCAGAAGTAGTCTCAGTGGAAGGGTGGCTGCCAAGAAGCCATTATTAAGGAATGGAAACCTGAAGAAAAGGCTGAGGTATGCCAAACTGCACCAGAACTGTACTGAAAAACAGTGGCAACAAGTCTGATGGAGGGATGAATTCAAATTTAGCATTTTGTTTAGAATCGTCAGAATTTATGGAGGAGGTCAGGAGAAAGGTAGAACAGTGTCAACAGCCATGTGTGAAACATGCTGAATCCTCTGTCATGGTTTGGGGGCTACATTTAAGCCAGAGGATCAAAAAGTGTCAAAACTGATGGAATTATGAACACAAAAAAGCCCACTGATGTAGTGCCACATGGAAATCATCTGATTTGTAACGGCTTCATTTTTCAGGATTGCAGTGATCACAAACACATTGCCTATTGAGTGAAAGCAAACCTGCATAAAAAACACACAAAGAAACACTATCAGTCATGGATTGGCCTCCCCAGAGCCCAGACATCAACATTATTGATCATGCTGACAAAGAACCGAACAAAAGGTAGCCAACAGAAGAGCTTTAAATGTCCTTCAAGGAGTCTGAAGAAATATTACTGAAGACTGCTTAAAGACTCGATAAGAAAGCTTGCCTTTTCCCTAGTATTTTGTGTTTCCATGTATGTTTGCACGTGTTTTTAATATCTCTGTGCACCTATTTCCCATTTTCATAGCAAAATATAAACAAATCAGCTTTGGCTCAAGACATTTGCACAGTACTCTACATCTTAGATCTTTCATGTATCCCTCTTCTTTTGAGCGTTTGGACCATCGATTTGGCCTTTTTGTTAGTTTTTCCTCCATTTGTTGCCTTTTTGTTCATTTGTTCATGTGTTTTTTGTTTATTTGTGCACGTGGGTGTCAGAGAACTGACGCTACTGTTCAGTCACCTCCAGAGACAGCGTAACACCAAGAAGGTTCTCCACAACTCCTACCACACGCTGCTGTCTGGGCTGCGGCCCTACAGCTCCCCCTACCTGTCGGGGGACAGGTACGCAACAGCCTCACAGTACATCCAGGCAGGGTGACAAAAGTCTGCCTATAGTCCTGCTGTAGGCAATAAGACACAGAACAATACACTCAGCAGGTGTACACACGCAAAAGACACGCTGCTTCCAGAGCTTTCTGCATGGACGCCTTTTATCTAACACCTCTTCACTAATGTGATCTGAGACCACTGTGTTGCAGGCCCTCCTGCTTCTCTGCATCTTTGTCTGCTTTAGCGCATACTCCTGCCATTTCCACCACCTCTTGCTGTTCACTCACCAGTTTCCTCTTCCTGTCTTCATCTTTCTTCCCCTATTATTTCCATCGTATCTTTTCCATGCCATCCATCCTCCATCCTCCATCTGTTCTCAGGAAGGCAGAAGTTCCATGCAGGTTTGTTCTCCAAGTCATGAGATGTGCTTGTTGAGTAAAGGGCATTCATAGCTGGGATAGATTCATTAGCATAAACTCAAACCAAAGTAACACAGGGCTGTTTATCTAATTTGTAAACAGTGGAGTTATGCATGAGAGCGAAGCACATTAAGGTTTTTGAATATTAAGTTTTTTGGTAGGATTGTCTCGTTATTGAGGAGCTGCTGTCCCACCGTGATGTTTAATGGACTGTCTTGATGAATATACTCAGGTGAAGCATTACCTTCTACCCTGGCATGACCCTTTCCCACCAACTGATCCCACCTAACTGCTAACTGAGCGTGTCTCAGTAATCCAAACTTGCCTCAGAAATATATTTTCCAGTTGAAGGTAAGGGAAGAGGCTGTTTGGACTATTGAGATGTTACACCTCACCCCTCCTCTCTCCGTTTCTTGCTTCTGCTGCGTTTTATCCTCACGGGTAACAACACGTACTCAGGTTGTGTCCCAGAACTTCTCCGCCATCCTCCCCCACTTCTTCCACTCCTCTCTTCCCCTCACTTCCTCTCTCCCTCTGCCTTGTGTGTCTCCCCAGTCAACTCCTCTCTAAAAAGCGGGGTCTCTTCCGGATACACGCTGGCCGCAAGCAGAGGTATCCACGGCAACAAGCCTGTGCACGGGGCACGCTAAATTGTCACAGATCAATACCTAGCATCCTCCTTTAACGGCACATCCTCCTTACCTTGCCTGAAACACCCAAATAATTGTGGGCCAGTGCAGTGATTTAAATGTTTTGTTCATGGAAAAAAAAAAGTCTGATGTGAACTTTTTTTTTAACAATAACCACTTAAATTAAAGTAGCACGACTTCGCTGATGCTACAGCATTTCATTTTGTTTTAAACAATCAACAAGCCGCCATGTGAAACTTCAAACAGTCACTACGTTCTGGTCCACAAATGCTTGCGTGAATCCTTTATTATAAAAACATGCTCTCCTATGTTTTAATATGAGGAAATTTCTCCAAGTTCTTCTTTATTGTAATTGCTGGAGAATGTAGAGCTGAATGTTTTTGTTTTGGCAAAGAAGTGACGAAACCATGTGTTAAAATCACTGCAGAAGTCGTGGGTGATTTACGGCTCTGACAAGTTAAACACATGGATTTTGAGGACATTGAGTATTCCCTCAAAAATCAGTGACTTTTTACTCTTTGAAAAGTCTGATAAATGTCATGCTCTAGTCTTGCTTCCTGCTTTCATTTCAGTTAGTCGGTTCAGTTTTTAGTCTCTTCTTGGAGAAACTGCTTAAATGATTAAGCATGCTTTCCACTTTCCTGTTCATATTAGTCATATTAGTTTGCATACAATGTATTATTTAGTGCTCAAATACTTTTGATTGCATGCAATATTCCTGCATGGCTGTGGAAAGATTCAGTAAAGTTCGTGGTCCTCAGTGGATCCAAATGATTTTACGTCCTTTCCCAGCAGCATGCAAACTCCTTTCACTCTACCTCCCCCATTTCTTCTACTCTAACCAAAGCATTTCTCATTGCTTGAATGAAATGCGGTTCCCAACAACACTCCCAAGCTGTTTATATTTTCATTTAAACGGCTACCTTGTAACACATGCAAAACAAAGAGTATATCATCGTAAAAAACAGAATTCTTGAGCGAATGACTTGGCCGAAATTGCTCCGTGGTGCATGATGTTTGTGTTGCCTTATGGATCCGTGACAGGAACATGTGAGTGGCCATAGTGTTGGGTTGGACTACAAGTGCATGCTATAACAGCAGC